AGGGCCACAGGATGTCCTCTTGCGGGAGCTGCTGGGAAAACCAGCCCGGGGAGCTGGGGTGGGGCAGCGGCTGCCCAGAAAGCTCCTGAAACAAAGACAGTGGGGTGGGGGTGGGGCACAGGGAAGCTTCTGGCCAGGCTGGTCTTTATGTGCAGCAGAGTGCCTGCCCTGCTGGCCCGATTGGAGCCCTGCCTTTGTGCCCTTCCTCTGCCAGCAGCATTTTCCTCCTGTGCCTGTTGTGATTGTTTAGCCCCCTCCGCTCCCGGGACCCCCCCGGGCAGAGCTGGGGGAGGGCTGCAAAGATGGGTCGTGTCTCCCATTTCCGAGCCGGGGCCACTGGTTTGTGGGGGACTTGGCCCAAGATGACACTGTGACCCTCCTGACCCTGGACCCCCTTGTCCCCAAGGGAAGGCACTGAGGGGAGAGGGAGTCCAGGGTCAGGAGGGTCAGAGTATCATCTTGGGCAAGCGCCTCCCCCCAACCCCCCATGTATCAGTGGCCTCAGCTGTGATGGGACAGACACGGTGAAACTCAGGATGGTGCCTGATGACCTCAGAGGCTGGACCGGGGTGGGGACAGGGAGAACCTGCTGCAATAGGGGTGCACCTGCAGTCCAGGGCGCCTCTGCCCTCCAGGTGAGCAGGCAGAAAGCCGGGGGGAGGAGCTGGGGGACCCAGTAGCTGCCTCCCTGCTCCGCTGCAGGCAGACAGGTGGGGATGGACCAGGAGGGCCGGGTCTGGCCAAGGCCCTGCTCACTCCCTTCAGCCCCTCTCCACCCACCGTGGGGGCTTTCCAGAGCGCCCGTGAAGGGGGAGCATGAGGTGCGCTGTGGTTCTCTGCTGCCCGCTAACCAAACGCCAAACCTGGTCCCAGGGTTCAGGGCCCATCCTTGCTCCATATCGTATCTCCTGCTGCTTCCTCCTCTGCTCCCTCAGCTCCCTCTCACGGTCCCCAATACACCCTGAACTCTCTCTGACCTCGGGAACATCAGTTGGGACCACCCCCCTTCCTAGCCTGACCGTCTGTAGTGTGATTTAGAGCAAGGACTCCACAGTCAGGCAAATGGGGTTTGAACTCTGGCCCGGCCACACACCAGATGTGTGACGTCACTCCTTTCAGCTCCTGTTGCCCCCTCTGTGCGATGAAGACCATGGTGAGAATCCAGTGAGATAACCTGTGCGTATGTCCAGGGCGCATCCTTGGGCCTTGCCTAGGATAAATTCCCCATACATGATAGCTGAGGTTATTATAACATTAGGCATGGTGCCTCCTTTACTGTTACACAGGACCACTTATAAGAGTTGTAATATATATATATATATATATATATATATATATATATATATATATATATATATATAATATTTTTTATTGATTTTTAACAGAGAGGAAGGGAGAGGGATAGAGAGCTAGAAACATCGATGAGAGAGGAACGTCGACCAGCTGCCTCCTGCACTCCCCCCACTGGGGATGTGCCCACAACCAACGTTCATGCCCTTGACCAGAATCGAACCTGGGACCTCTCAGTCCGCAGGCCGATGCTCTATCCACTGAGACAAACCGGTTTCGGCTATATTTTAAGTACGATCATCATGGCCCATTGCTATGCATCCTTCAATGCCCGGCACTGACATCACCAGGAAGCCTCCCTTGATTATCCTGGCAGGAGCTGGCCTTCCTTGCTGGCTCACTGCTAGCCCTTTAAGCTGGGCAACCCACGGATGGGCTCTCCCCCACCGGGACCAGACAGGGTGCCTCTCCCACTCTGATTCTTTTTGCTCACTCCCCACGGAGCACAGACAGGCTCAGAGGGTACCTTCTCCCTCCCTGCTGACTGATGTGTGTAAGTCCTAATGAGACCGGAATCTCCTTCCTGCCCGTATCCTGGTTTGATCTCTGAAAGGGCCTGGGAGACCGGCCCAGCAGGAAAAATTCTTTCCGTGGCGATGAGGAAATAATCTAAACAAGGGCCCAGTTTAGATTATTGGACTGGGCGGGGTGTGTCGTGGAGCACCTTACAAGCCTTATCTCATCCTCTGCGGAGAGCCACTGGGGAGCTGCTCCTTTTATCTTCCTTGTACAGACGAGGAAATGGAAATGACTTAGACCTGTGCCTAAAGGTCAACTGTTAGATTTTCAGGAATTGTGTGGGCTGGTTTTTAAATTATTAAAAGCTAAATTATGTAAACTTATGATTAAACGCTCGTATTAAAAAGGAAGGTAAGCCCTAACCAGTTTGGCTCAGTGGATAGAGAGTCAGCCTGCGGACTCAAGGGTCCCATGTTTGATTTCTGTCAAGGGCATGTACCTTGGTTGCAGGTACCTACCCAGTTGGGAGTGTGCAGGAGGCAGCTGATGGATGTTTCTTTCTCATCGATGTTTCTAACTCTCTAACCCTCTCTTCCTCTCTGTAAAAAAAAAAAATCAATAAAATAAAAAAATAAAAACCCATGAAGGTAATAGCCCTGGCCAGGGCGGCTCAATTGGTTGGGCGTCGTCCCATGCACCCAGAGGTTGCCAGGGACACTCGGGGGGTTTTGGGCTCCATCCCCAGTAGAGGGTGTGCAGAAGGCAGCTGATCAATGTTTCTCTCATTGATATTTCTCTCCCCCCTCTCCCTTCCACTTTTTCCAAAATAAATAAAAACAGCCCTAGTCTGTTTGGCTCAGTGGATAGAGCATCAGCCTGTGGACTAAAGGTTCCTGGGTTTGATTCTGGTCAGGGCCATGTACCCTGGTTGCAGGCTCCATCCCCAGCCTTGGCCCAGGTGTGTGCGGGAGGCAACCAATTGATGTGTCTCTCTCACATCAATGTTTCTCTGTCCCTCTCCCTGCTACACTCTCTAAAAATTAATGGGAAAAATACCCTCGAGTGAGGATTAACACCCCCCCCCAAAAAAAAATAATAAGAAATTAAAAAATTAATAAAAATGTGTTTAAAAAACCCACCAAGTTATTAGGTACAATCTGTCACTTATTTTTACTATGTTTTATCTGTGTTCTTAAAGCTACTTACTTCTATTGTCTCTGGTAGGATTACTGTATATACAGTGCTGTGTGGAACAGGGGCATCACATTGGTAGATTGAAATCATCCAAAGTGGGAGTATTTACACCGTGGGAATTGGCCAACAGTATACCTCAGTTGTTCAGCCTTTACCAGCACACCGCTAACGGAGGCCCAGAGAGGCTGTGCCCTGCGTGGCTCACCCAGCTGGGACTCAGAACCCTGGCAGTGTGCCACTGGTGCCCACTTTTGTGCATCTCTATGTTGATTATGCCCAAGGTCCCAGTCACACATAGTTGGTATTAACATGCCCCCCACACATCTCATACACGCTCCCTGTTCTCACTAGGATAAGAGACGTCATGCCCTCCAGCCAGCCCTCTCTCCCTTAGTTCACCTCCGTCCCTCTTTCCTCCCCTCCCCCTTTCTCTTTTTCCAGCCCAGCCTCCCTGGGGCCTTGAGGGAGCAGCCCAGCCCATGTGCACATTCAGCCTGGTGTCAGAGGCCAGTCACTGGCCACCTTGTCTGCCCTCTCCCAGCCTTTGTCTGGCCATCTGCCCATCAGCTGTGGGACTGACTTCCGGGGGAGGGTGGGCAAAGGGAGGGCTGCCTTGCCTGTTGACCCAGAGCCTACCTTTGCTTGCTGGCCTCTTTATCCCACCTGGGACCTCCAACCCCTCCCACCACCGGCAGCGGCATCCCCACGGAGCCCTCTGAGGCTCTGCCCTTCCCTTGTTCTGGAGGAACAAAACCAGGTCAGGTCACTCTGCTCAGCATCCTCCCGTGTTTTCCTTTCTCACCCGCAGACGCCACGGCCTCACAACGGGCCATCAGGCCGCCCGGCACCCAGCGGCCTGTCCCCGCTTTGCTCTCCTGTTCCAGCCACTCTGGCTTCTGCTGCTCTCAGATACGCTGAGTGCACTCCTGCCCCAGGGCCCGGGTACTTGCCATTCTTGCCCCAATGTATGCGTGATTTGTTTTTTCTCCTCCTCCAGATCTGTGTTGAGATGTCACTTTTTCTGACCCTTCTATTTAATTTATTTATTTTTTATTTATTTTTTTTTTTTACTGATTTCAGAGAACAAGGGAGAGAGAGAGAGAGAGAGAGAGAGAGAGAGAGAGAGAGAAGCATCAATGATGAGAGAGAATCATTGATCAGCTGCCTCCTGCATGTCCCACACTGGGGATCGAGCCCGAAACCAAGCTGACGCTCTCCACTGAGTCAAACCAGCTAGGGCTGCCTATTTTGTTGGGTGGATGGATGGATGAACGAACGAATGAATGAATGAACAAATGAATCACAGTGTTTCCAAATGTCAGGGAAGCCTTGTAGCCGGCTGGGAGTGAGGGGGCTGTGTGGTGTCAGGGGTGGGACCTGGTGTCGGGCCCAGCTTTGCTCTGACTGGCTGTGTGATCTTGGGTCGTTCCCTTCCCCTCTTTCCCAAGTCTAACGGGGAAGGCAGTGTGGCCAACATCAGGACCGCTGGCTCTGGAGACAGGCAAGCGGGATCAAATCCCCTTTGGGCTGCTCACACCGATGGGGCCCCTGGCAAGTCCCTTCTCCCTGAGCCTGACTCCCATCTGCGAGGTGGGCCGGGCTGGAAGGATCCACAGGAGGCTGACTGTGTGGTGAGGCCTCGCGCAGCTCCTGGCATACAGAAACGGTCTGAGGAGGACATTTTTACTGTCTTAGAAGTACCCAGAGGCTCCGCTACAGCTGGATGAGTCGTGGGCCTGCACAAAGAGGACGGGGTCGTGGAATCACCAGAACCCGGAGGGCCTTCCCGCCGCCCTGGGCCCAGGCCTGCCTGAGGCTGCTTCCCGTCGTCATGAACGTTTACCGTTAACATGTGCTTCGTCTCTGGGGTGGCTGCCCTGGCCCGGGCCCAGGCTAAGCTTTGTCTCCTGGGCTCCGGCCTCGAGCTGGGTGGTGTGGGCAGGGGGTCCAGGCGCAGGGCCCTGCCCCGGCCCTCACGCCCTCTTCTGCTCGCACAGTGTTCATCTGTAGCTTCATGGTGGCGGCCCCCATCTTCGGCTACCTGGGCGACCGCTTCAACCGGAAGGTGATCCTCAGCTGCGGCATCTTCTTCTGGTCGGCGGTCACGTTCTCCAGCTCCTTCATCTCCCAGCAGGTGAGTCTGGCTGGCCGCCCGCCCGGCTGCCCCGAGTGTCCCGTCCGCTCTTCCAGGGGGTGCGTCTGCGTGACCCGTCTTAGTCTGGACTAGTGTTCGGCAAACTCATTAGTCCACAGAGCCAAACATCAACAGGACAACGATGGAAATTTCTTTGGAGAGCCAAATTTTTAAAACTTAAACAACTTTTAACGCCACTTTTTCAAAATAGACTCGCCCAGGTCGTGGTATCTTGTGAAAGAGCCACACTCAAGGGGCCAAAGAGCCGCATGTAGCTCGCGAGCCGTAGTTTGCCGACCACTAGTCTAGACTGGGTTTCAGCCGCTTTGCTCCAGCTCAGATAGTATCCTCCAAGGACAGTGGGATGGGGGCGGGGAGGGGGTTGGGGGTTGGGGAGAGGGGTTTGAGAATTTTTAGAAACTGGCCCTGCAAATAGACCCTTCCCCATACTGGCCGGAACTAAGGAACCCACAGCCCAGCATGGCAGCCTGACTCTCTAAGCTGCTTCTGATCGGGGGCAGATTTTAGGAACACAGGGAACTAGGAGTTGGGACCCATTGGTTCTGGTCCCGGCCCCTCCAGCATCTTGCTGTGTGACCACGGGTGAGCCACTGCCCCTGCCTGGGCCTCACGCAGTGTGCTCTTCGTGTGATGGCCAGCTAACTGCTTGGGTCCACGTCTTAGGGAGGTCAGCATCACTTCAACATAAGGGAGATGTTTCTTACTCGGCTCCCACAGTGCTGGGTTTGACTGTATCGATTCTGTTGCCCACCCAGCCTTGTGATCTGGAGAAATTTACTTGACCTCTCTGAGCCTCCGTTTCTTTACCTCTAAAATGGGGATAATACTTCTCAACTTAGAGGGTTATTGTGAGAAATACCAAGCCAATGAGTATCCAGGCCCTGGACCATGGCAAGTGCGCAGCAAATCATTCCTTTGACTCTTTCTTCCAAAAGGGAGACTCGTTGCTTTGGGAAGTGGTGAGTGCCCCATCATTGGGGATGTTCAGCGGAGGAAGGATAGTCACCTGATGGTGACAGCAGAGGGAGATGGAGGGAGAAGGGGAGAATGCCAGATCTTCCCTCTGGCAGCTTAGGGGACAGAGGAGGAGACCCTGGTCCTGTCCTTGGGAGCTGGGATGGAAGGATGTGGCAGAAAGTCCCGTGTGTAGGGCCTTCAAGATGTGTGAAGTGGAGTCAATGTAAGGAGTGCAGCCTCTTAAAATCTATGGTTCAGGGAAGGCTTCCTGGAGGCAAGAGCAGGCAGGACAGGGAGATGAGGCCTTTTGGTGAAGCGAGCATGGGCAGAAGGAGCACACTCCCATGGGCGCAGATGGTGGGGTGTGTCAGAAATTGAGGGAAGGAGTGTTTTGGCTGGAAGGGAAGGCAGGGACCGAGTCAAGGAGAGCTTCAGATGCCGGTGGGCGAGCCTGGGTCTCTTCCTGAGGGCAGTGCAGAGAGTGGAGAAGGACACGGTGAGTCAGATTTACATTGATCGAGGGTGGAGGGAATCAGCAGGTTTGGGATACAGCTTTGCTTCATGGGCTGCTTCCGAGGACTGTCAGGCTCAGGAAAGCTCCAAGCCGTAGTGTCTACCTGACACCCACAGTAGGAAATGGGGCCTGGACCAGACGCCTCAGGGCCTCGCTGGGCCGTGTCCTGCCCTGGCTCCGGCCCCTGGTCTTCTGATCTTCGGCGCTATTTCTGGGACAGGACCAGGATGCCAGGCCTGAGCCCCAGCCAGGTGTGTAGAGGAGAGAGGGTCGGGGAGAGAAGATGAGCAGAGGCAGAGACAGAAGCAGACAGATCACACCCATTACTCTATAAATTCACTGCAAGCGCAGCCCGAGTCCCACAGGGTTCTGAAGCTAATTTGGCAGAGAAGACGCCTCGGAACAGCCAAGAACGTGGTGAAAAATAACAGCGAGAGGGGACTTGCCCTGTGAGTTAATCCAATATGGCTCTTCCTGGGACGGCAGAGGGACGGACGAAGAGATCGGGAGACGCAGTCCTTCCTGTGGGAACTGGGTGTAGGGCGAAAGTGGCATCTCACAGTTTCGGGAGAACTGACTGTCCATCTGGATGAAAAATAGCCCGTATTTCAAACCACACCTCAAAGTAAATTCCAGATAAGTCAGAGTAAAGTAAAAAGCAAACTATAGCCATGAGGAACTGTAAATCAACAACAAAAGACAAACCACCCAGTGGAAAAACGGGCAAAGGACAGTGACAGACAGTCGCAGGAGCAGATACCCAATGGGCATGGACAGTAGGAAGAGACTCTACTCTCTTAAGTAATTGGAAATGCAAATTAAAACAACAATGAGATACCATTTCACACCCGGTCAGATTGGCAGCAATTAGAAAGGCTGGCAGTACTTTGCGTTACTCCAGCTGCTGGTGGGAGTGTAAATGGATCGAGGCTCTTTAATTCTAGCCGTGTAAATCCCACAGCCCAGCTTCTGGCTTTGCGGTGTATGCCCAAGACAGAAACTCCAACTTGGGGACACGAGTGCATGCGAGGATGTTTGCTGTAGTCTTAAAATAGAAAAAAAGGGAGACTAACTAAAGGGCCATGACTGGGGGAAGCCCAGATAAAATGGGGTGTCTTCATCCTATGAGACTTTTTTCTTGGTTAATACTCACCCAAGCATATTTTTTCCATTGATTTTTAGAGAGAGTAGAAGGGAGGAGGAAGGCGGGGAGAGGGAGAGAAAGAGAGAGAGAGAAGAGAGAAACATTGATGTGAGAGAGACACATGATTTAGTTGCCTCACCAAATCACCCGGATTGGGGCCAGGCATTGAACCAGCAACCCGGGTACCTGCCCTTGACCGGAATTGAACCTGAGACCCTCCGATGCGTGGGCCGGCGCTCTAACCACTGAGCAACGGCAGCCAGGGCATCTTAGGAGACTCTTAATCACAAAAGAATGAACTAGATCTGTATTAAAGGATAAGAATGAGGGAAAGAGCAAGTTGTGGGACAAGGTTCATGGAATGGTTCCTTTTATGGTCATTTTTTTTCAAAGCACCCGGGACACTGAATGCTGTTCACTGGTACGTGGGTGTGCAAGTAGCAAGTGCACAGAGCAGTGAGCTGGGGGGACGGGGGTGGGGGAGGGGAGTGGGGATCTGCAGGATCCCTGCCAGACAGGGCTTGTTTGCCTGCTCGGAGGACACCCCTCCCAGTCGCACTCTCTCCACAACATAACAACCATAACACACCAGAGAACGCCTCTCTCACTAGGGATGGAATAGGCCTTCCTGAACAAGATGTGAGACCAGAAGCCATTAAAGGAGAAATGAACAGACCGGACATTCTCAAATTAAACAACACGAAATGAAGCTTCTGGATGGAGGAACTCCACACACTATTTGTGACCTACATAATAAAGGACCATTACCCAGGCCCTAGCCGCTTTGGCTCAGTAGATAAGAGTGTCAGCCTATGGACTCAAGGGTCCGGGTTCGATTCCGCTTAAGGGCAGGTACCTTGGTTGCGGGCACATCCCCAGTAAGGAGTGTGCAGGAGGCAGCCGATTGATATTTCTCTCTCATCGATGTTTCTAACTCTCCCTCTCCCTTCCTCTCTGTAAACAATCAATAAAATATATTTTAAAAAATTTTAATAAAAAAGGATCATTACCCAGGATGTCCAGAAAGCTAACCGAAGCCAAGGCAAGAAAGACAGTCCAACAAAAAACAGGCAAAGGCTGTCGGCAGATGATCCCCAGGAAAAGCAGCAGCCGTAAGGAACCAGGGGAAGACTCGGGGTGCAGAGGGTGACGAGCTATAGAAATGAGAGGCGCGGAGATGGCTGAGCAGGACCAGTGACTCAGAGAGAGGACAGGAAAGAGCCGGGCAGATGGAGGGAGGGAAGCAGAGCCCAGAGGAGGGCTGGATGTGGGCGCTGCTGGCCGGATGGGTGGTCAGGGTGGGGCCGGGGAAAGATGACCAGGCTGGGTTCTCAGGCCCTGGGCAGCTGGGGACGGAGAGGACCGGTCCACATCAAAGGGGTTGTACCCTGGCAGCTGGCACGGCCCCACCCTTCCCAGATCAGGGGGGCTGAGCCCTTTGATGTGTGCGCGGGGAGAAGCGCCGGGCACTGGGCTGCCCTGCCCACTCCCCACTCACACTTCTCCTCAGCGCTGCCAGGGCCAGCTGCCGTGTGTGTGTGTGTGTGTGTGTGTGTGTGTGTGTGTGTGTGTGTGGATACAGAGGGGGGTGGTTCAGAACTCCGGGAGGAAGTCCTCCAATTGGGATGGTGGTGAAGACACAGGCTTCTGTCCACGGTGCTAACGAGGTCAGAGGGGGCCTGTCTGAGCCAGAACTATTAACACTCAACTTGGGAGAGTCAAGTCCCATCTCAGCACCAGGCCAACCAGGCCCAGTCAGACCCACTCTCTGGAGGGGGAGACTGAGGCCCAGAGTGGTGGCCTAAGGGTGTAGTTGTTGCTGAGGCAGGGGTTGGGCTCCAACCTCTCTCCTGGTGCCTGGACCCTGCAGGGGTGCGGGGCAAAGTGGGGGCCGAGGATGAGCCAGGCCGAGGAGCGGGACAGTCCCCAGCATCCTCCGCCCCTCCCTCCCCCACAGCACTTCTGGCTGCTGGTCGTGTCCCGGGGGCTGGTGGGCATCGGGGAGGCCAGCTACTCCACCATCGCGCCCACCATCATCGGCGACCTCTTCACCAAGAACACGCGCACGCTCATGCTGTCCATCTTCTACTTTGCCATCCCGCTGGGCAGGTGAGGATCCGGGCGAGGTCCCCTCTCCCTGACGTGTGGTCCTCGGTGACCCAAACATGCGGGTGGTCAGCCTTGGGGAAACGCTGGACCTGCTCTGCAGGTGGGTGGCCGGGTGGCTGGGGCAGGCGGGCAGGCGGGCAGGGGTCCTGCCCCGTGGACAGTGAGCACCCCCCCGCCCCCCACCTGTCCTGCTGACTGTGCCTGTCTCTCTGCAGCGGCCTGGGCTACATCACTGGCTCCAGCGTGAAGCAGGCAGCCGGAGACTGGCACTGGGCCTTGCGGGTAAGGACACCCCCTAGACCAGCTTGTGCCCAGGGTCACCCAGAGGTCCAGGGACAGACCCGGGCTAGGACGCAGGCCTGGGCCTCCGGGCTCCCCATCCCGAAGGCCTGCACTCCGCTGGGGAATCCAGATGTGAGCAGAGCCCAAGTCCGGCCCGTGACCCTCAGGGGCCCCCAGGCCGAGGGGACGGAGAACTCTCGGGCAGGTCAGGAAATTCCAGATCCACCACGGCGCTTCCTGCCGAGAGAGCGCCGGCTCTGTGCGAGGGCGAGGCCGAGACAAGACCTCTGTGGGGGCCACTTCCTGGCCCCGGAAACAGAGATCCCCAGTCTCGCAGAGGAGAGGAAGCTAAGACAAAGTGTTTTTTCCTCAAAAGCAGGAAGGAAGCAGCCTCCGTGGAATTCCTTAATGGGTGTGGGAGCATGGAGAGGCTCCAGGCCTGGGGGGTGGGAGTGTGTGTGTGGGGAGCCGGCGCCTTGGAATCCAGGCTGCCGAAGTGGGCCCCACTTCTGGAGAGAGGGCTGGGGCCAGGGCTTCTGTTCTCACCCGGGGTAGGACCCAGGGAAGACCCCAGGGGGCCCCGAGCCTCCGTTCTGGGGCCACATGGGCTCCTCCCACACGCTAACCTCCCTGGTCTCCGTGCTGGCTGCTTCGTGCCCAGCCTGCCCTTCCCAGGGTCCCGCAGGGCGAGGACCTGCCTGGGAAACTCTCCCAGACCCGGGGGTTCGGGCAGGGCTGGTGTGGCTCCCTGTGCACAGGCACTCTCCTCTCCCCTCATCCTTCCACAAGCCTGTCCGTTATCACCTGTCCTTCCTTCTTCCCATCCACCCATTACCCACCCAGCCATCCGCCATCTTCCCGCTTTTCCATGTTAATGCGTCCCTCCAGTGATTCGTCGTTCCGTCGTCCGTCTTCCTGTCTGTTAATTCACTCACCCGTCCATTCTTCCTCCCATCTGTCTGTCCACATACTCTGCCACCTGTCCTCCCGCCTCTACCCATCTGACCGCCCACCCCTCCCTTCTTCCTTCGGGGTCCCCTCCCAATCCCACCGCTGCTCTGGACACTGCAGGGTGGGCCCCCTGCACCCCTTTTGCCGACCTCGTTCCCAGCGGCTTTGCTCAGCAGCCCCCTCAGGAAGGCCGGGCAGGTGGCCTGGAGCCCAGGGCCCAGGGTGTGGCTTGCCTGCACTCCCCCTCCTGGTGCCGCAGAGACGCCGCCCGCCGGCTTGGCCCTGGCGTCCTAACGTGGTGCTCCCTGTGCCACCAGGTGTCCCCTGTCGCGGGCATGATCACAGGAACGCTCATCCTCGTCCTGGTCCCAGCCACGAAGAGAGGCCACGCCGACCAGCTCGGGGGGCAGCTCAAGGCACGGACCTCGTGGCTCCGAGACATGAAGGCCCTGATCCGCAAGTGAGTCCTGCTGGGGCCGGGTGTGTGTGTGTGTGTGTGTGTGTGTGTGCGTGTGTGTATGTGTGTGTGTTTCTGGTGAGAAGAGGGGGCGGCTCACCTAGCACCCGTGGCTGGACTCCCTGCTGTCTCCGCTGCCGACGGCCCTGGGAGGGACATGGGGGCCACGTGGCGGTGTCTCTGCTGCCAGAGGGGAGACATGGGCGCCTCCCACCCCCGGGAGGAGCGGGGAGCGGAGGGTGCCTCCGGGGCCCCGCTCAGTGTCCCTGCCCGGCCTCTCCCCAGCCGCAGCTACGTCTTCTCCTCCCTGGCCACGTCGGCCGTGTCCTTCGCCACGGGGGCCCTGGGCATGTGGATCCCGCTGTACCTGTACCGCGCCCAGGTCGTGCAGAAGACGGCAGAGGCGTGCGGCAGCCCGCCCTGCGGGGCCAAGGACAGGTGGGGCCGGGCCCAGGTCGGGGAGGTGGGCGGCAGGGCGGCCAGGGACGCCGGGCAGAGGTGCCAGCCCTCTGCCCCGGCACTGGCCTTCCTCTCAACCCACCCACCCCCTCCTGTGCCCCACAGCCTCATCTTTGGGGCCATCACCTGCTTCACGGGCTTCCTGGGCGTGGTCACGGGGGCAGGAGCCACGCGCTGGTGCCGCCTGCGGACCCAGCGAGCCGACCCGCTGGTGTGCGCCGTGGGCATGCTGGGCTCTGCCATCTTCATCTGCCTCATCTTCGTGGCCGCCAAGAGCAGCATCGTGGGGGCCTATGTGAGTGCCGTGGGGGGTCAGGGCGGTGGGGGTGGCCTGGCAGGAGCAGCAGTGTGATTCACGGGGCCCTCCGCTCCCCCGGGGAGGCTCCTGTGTGCCGCCCCTGCTCTGTCCAGGGCTCGGCTGTGGGCATCTTGATAAGCCACACGCTGCCGGGCAGGGAAGGCTGGGAGGCATCGGGGTTCCCTGCCTGCAGCCAGGGTGCAGGGAGCGAGCTGAGGCCACGGGGTGTGTGTGGGGCCTCCTGACGGCTGTTCCGGTCTCTCCTGGCAGATCTGCATCTTCGTTGGGGAGACGCTGCTGTTTTCTAACTGGGCCATCACCGCAGACATCCTCATGGTGAGCAGCCGAGGCCGCCACCGCTGGCCAGGCCTCTGGGCTCTCTGGGCAGCTGGGAGGGCGAGGGCAGGGGTGGAAGAGCTGCAGGACTCAGGGGTGGTGTGTGTGTGTGTGTGTGTGTGTGTGTGTGTGGTAGTGTGTGTGGACCTTCCAGGTCCTCATGGAGGGGAACCAAGATGGGTTTTTGGCTGGTGATGGTGGTTGTATGTGTGGTGATGGTGATGGTGGTGGTGTGTGTGGTGGTTGTGTTTGTGGTGGTGGTGTGTGTGTGTGTGGTGGTGTGTGTGTGGTGGTGTGTGATGGTGATGGTGGTGGTGGTGGTGTGTGTGACGGTTGTGTTTGTGATGGTGGTGTGTGTGTGTGTGGTGTGTGATGGTGGTGTGTGTGTGTGTGTGTGTGTGTGTGTGTGGTGGTGTGTGTGTGTGTGGTGGTGTGGTGTGTGTGTGGTGGTTGTGTTTGTGATGGTGGTGTGTGTGTGTGTGGTGGTGTGTGTGTGTGGTGGTGTGTGTGGTGATGGTGATGGTGTGTGTGATGGTTGTGTTTGTGATGGTAGTGGTGTGTGTGTGTGTGTGATGGTGGTGGTGGTGGTGTGTGTGATGGTTGTGTTTGTGATGGTGGTGTGTGTGTGTGTGTGGTGTGTGATGGTGGTGTGTGTGTGTGTGTGTGTGTGTGTGGTGTGTGATGGTGATGGTGGTGGTGTGTGTGATGGTTGTGTTTGTGATGGTGGTGTGTGTGTGTGTGTGGTGTGTGATGGTGGTGTGTGTGTGTGTGGTGGTGTGTGATGGTGATGGTGGTATATGTTGTGTGGTCATTGGGGATTTAGGCTGGGAAGGTGAGCCTGGAGGCAGGGGAGGATCAGAGATGTTGGGGTCTGCGTGGAGAGGGCTGAAAGTGGAGGGTTGAGCCAGCCGGATGGATGTGGAGCCTGGGTGGGAAGGGGATGTCTGGAGGCTCAGGTCTGTGGCTGGAAGGCTGGCAGTGCCAGGCTGGCACCGAGGGGGTGTCGCCTGCCAGCACTCCTCCCCCAGGGTCTGAGCTTCCAGTGACCCAGCTCAGCCGGGTCCCAGGCGTGCCTGCCTGAGTGCCCGCGGCCGGGCTGTGGCCGGGCGGACAGAGGCCGTCTTCACAGCGCCAACAATGGGCCCAGACCAGCCGGCCGGGGACAAAGGGCCGTCTGAGCGCGGGGGCGGGGGCTGGTGTCCCCGGGCGAGGTTGGGTACAGCCGGGAGGGGCTGTGGTCCTGGTTGGTTGCAGCAGTCTTGAGGGTGGTGAGGGTTGGGGATGGGGTGACTCCTTCCTATGCCTTGCACTCCAAGTCAGTGTCAGGAGAGAATTGGGAGAAGGGGTGCAGAGCCCAGCAGGGCGGGGTGGGGGTGGGAGAGTGGGAGCTGCAGGGACTGGCCATGGGGTAGGAGGCTGAGGACTCCTCGTGGGCCGACCCTGGGGTGCTCAGGGTTTGGTGCCACAGTATGGGGCAGCCCAGACGATCAGAGGCGCCTGGCACTGGTCTCCTGCCAGCCCCTCTTCTCCAGGAAGGCTGCCCTGCCCACCAGCTTCCTGCATCTCTGCCTTCCTGGGCCGCCTTTCTCACCCACAACAGGGACTTTGGGGGGTGTGGGATGCTGGGCAGTGAAGTGGGGGTCTTACTCAATTGTGTCTCATCATGGAGCCAGGCAGGGGGGCGGGGTGGGGTGGGGGGGCGTCACTGCACATGCCGAGTGGAGGGAGGAGGAATTTGTTAGAATCAGTGTGCTTGGTGCTGGGCAGGACCCCTCCCTATCTGCCCCCAGGGGCAGCCCCAGCTGCTGACAGGGTTTGGGTCCCAGGGAAATCGTGTCCCATTTTATCAAGTGTCATGGCCACGTGACTATTGTTGGAAACGGGGCCACACAATCCCATCGGATCCAGGTGTCCTCCCTGCCCCCGGTAATGGGGTGCCCCGTGGACGCCGTGGCTGCTCCCGCAGACTGTCCGAGGGCAGGCACCCTGACAGGGGGCTGCCCAGGGCACCCACTGAGGCAGCTGCTGTCTGCCCACACTCCTCCCTGCCTTGGCCTGCACGGCCTCGGGGATGCGACCTGGTTGGGGCCCGCGTGGTCTGACAAGGGTTCCTGGGCCCAGCAGCTCCAGGCACGTGGCACTTAGGGTGCCCGGGGGTAAAAGCGCAGGCTCTTCCAGGGAGGATCTTCTTTCCCTCCCTAGACCTTCCAGGTCCTCATGGAGGGGATCCAAGGTGGGTCTTTGGCTGGTGGGAGGGGAGGGCCGGAGGCTGAGTGGTCAGGGGCTGGGCCCAGCCTTGCCTGACCCTTGTGCAGCCCTCTGGGCCTCAGTTTCCCTGACCCCTGCTTGTACCTGGCTCTCCACGAGCGCAGTGCAGTCGAAGGCAGCCGGTCTGTGAGCTGGGGGAGAGCAGAGGGCCCTGGGGCCGAGGTGAAAGACACCAGGGCAGAAGGGATCCTCAGAAGTGTCTGGACCCCAGGGATGAGGCCAGGTGGTGGGCCTGGCTCCTCTGGCCTCTGACCTGCCGCCTCTTCCACAGTACGTGGTCATCCCCACGCGACGGGCCACCGCCGTGGCCCTGCAGAGCTTCACCTCCCACCTGCTGGGCGACGCTGGCAGCCCCTACCTCATCGGCTTCGTGAGTGCCCGGGGTGGGGCGGCTGCGGGGGTGCCGGGCCCCGGCAATCAGCCCGCCTTGACACGCACTCACGGTCCTCACAGATCTCCGACCTGATCCGCCAGAGCACCAAGGACTCCCCGCTCTGGGAGTTCCTGAGCCTGGGCTACGCCCTCATGCTCTGCCCTTTCGTCGTGGTCCTGGGCGGCATGTTCTTCCTCGCCACGGCCATCTTCTTCCTCAGCGACCGGGACAAGGCCGAGCAGCAGTGAGTGGGGGTGGGCGGGCCTGCGCCTCTGCTGCCACACCTGCCTGGGCGGGAGGGTGGTGGGCGGCCTGGCCCCTGGGCTCCCGCCTTCCTGACCTTGATGCTGCCTGCGCCCAAACCTCCGCCCCATACCGAGGGAGCCAGCCGTGGGGAGCCGGCTGTGCCTGTGGTTCTGGGCTTGGGTTTTCTCGGGTTAATGGTTTTGAGCTGGGACCCTTTTTTTTCCTTCCTTTTTTTTTTTCTCTCTCATTTTCTGACTTTCTCTTTACTCTTCTCTTTCTTTCCTCTCCCCACCCCTGGGCTCTCCCACCTCCCCCTGGGGCTGACGAGGTCTCTGCCCAGCACGTCCGGTCAGCCGGCCCCAGTGATTCGATGCGCCAGAGCAGTGCCCGGGCCCGGCTCCCGCTGAGGTGCCACCTTGACCCCTGCCCGTCTCTCCCCCAGGGCGAACGAGCTGGTGATGCCACCCGCATCCATGAAGGTCTGAGGCGGTGAGTGCAGGCCAGGGAGGCAGAGGGGCTCAGGGAGGGGCGGGGGGATCAGAGGGGAAGCACAGCCCAGTGATGGGAGGATCGTGGGAGGGGTGCAGGCTCCCTCTTCCAGTAAGTCAGCCCCTTCCTTCCTCAGAAGGGCTGAGGACATAGGTCAGGGCCGCCACTGGCCAGGACTCCCTGCTCGGTCATCCAAATTTTCCTAGAGGGGCCAGGGCCAGACTCCTACACGTTGGTTGACCTTCCTCTGGACCTGGCCCCTGGGGGCACTTCCTAGTAGTCAAGACCCAAGGTCACCACCCCATACCCTGCCCCCAGAGCCCAGGGGAACTCATTTCTCCAAACAGGAAAGGAAGCTTTAAAAATGATACCTCCCAAAGCCCCACCTCTGACCTCTGACCCCCCCCCCCCCCCTTCCTCTAGGTGCCTCTGGAACTATGAAGAATGCTCGCTCCCGCCTAGTCTGGGAAGTGTCCTTCAGCATCGCAGTCCTGCTGGGCTGCCCGGCTTTCCACGTGACCCCCAGCAGGACGCCCACCTCTGGTCTGGGACAGCCGAGTGGCCATGGCTCCAAGAGGCTGTGTCCTCAACTAACCTGGAGGGCTGTGTGTGCTGGGGCCACGTGGTCAGACCGACCCCCGGCCCTGGGTTTGGACTGCAGAGCCGCTGGGACCCAGGGAGAGGACAGCCCCCGGCGAGTGTGTGGAGAGAGCCTGGCCTGTCACCAGCTTACATGATCCTGGGCCAGTCCCTGACCCCCGCAGACCGCGGGGCCAGCGAGCCGGACTTTGCAGTGCAGCTGGCCGGGCAAGGCACCACCGGCGGCTTTGAAGACCCGGCAGCTCCCGGACCACGCAGACAGGCTGTCCAGGCCTCAGGGTGGCCCTTCAGTCTCTGAGGCCTGTAGCCTTTCAGCTGGGCCTCTGGACTCGGCCTGGCAGAGCTGGGCAGCTGTCGCTGAGAACTTCCTAGCCTGGCGGTTCACTCTAGAGGGCACTTGTCTCTGTGGCTATGGCTGGGCTTAGCCTGGGTCTCTCAGGTGGGGACCAGCCCAACAAGGAGTTGGTATCACCAGGGGTGAAGGCCCTGGTGGTTGCTACAAGCCACCTGTGCCCCAGGTCTGAGACCACTGGGGTTGCCTACCATACAGGGCTCCTTGAAAGCCCTGGAAAACCTGTTCGTCTCCTGAACCCCCCACAGGAGCCAGACCCACTCCTGCCCCACACTGGGCTTTCCAGGGGCAGGGCTCTGGGGGACTATTCCCAGATTCCCCGGGGCAGTGGCCAGGGTTCTGACAGCCAGAGGAAGCAGCCTTCCCCTCAGCTTCCTGACCCAGGGAGTAGCCTGGTGGGGGCTGATATCCCAGAACCATCTCCACCAACGTCAGCTGCCGCTGCTCACGTGCATTTCCATAGCCTTCTACTGCCCCAGCCGCTGGCCACCTGGGATCCTGTCTGCATCCCACCCTCATAGCCACATGCAAGGTGCAGCTGCCAAATGTCACCCGAGCCCTGGTCCCCAGCGTGCAGCTTCTCCCGTCCGTCTGCTCCACTCCCTCCCTGCACAAGTGCGGGGCCTTGTGGCCAGGCGCCCCTCTGAGCCAGCCTAGACAATGCTCGCTGCCCCGTAGTTACTGGCTGGTGTGGCTTCAGTGGTGTGGAAGCTACTGGAAAACCCACTCCCCGCCATGCTCTGGGGCACCCTGGGGGCCAGGAAAGGGGGTGGGATCCCCAAAGACCAGCCTGGCCTCTACCCCCACCCAGGCTCAGCTGGGGCCCCAGCAATGTTTTCTTGTTGTACAAGAACCAGGTCCAAGTGTTGCCTCCTCTTCCTTCCGGAAGCCAAACTGCTCCTTTATTTTTTAGAGCTGCTGATTGTGAATCTCAGAGTCTTAAGAGAAGCCAAATATATTCCTCTTGTAAATGAAGAAATAAACCTATTTAAATCATGCCTTGCTGGCTCTTGCAGGAAAGCAGCGTGGGGGGGAGGGCACAAGGAGTGGTCACACCTATCTCCGCCAGCGTGGTGGCCAGGCCCGACTGACCCCCCCTGAACATGAGCCCTAAGGTGGCCCACACAAGGCCCATGTGCTCTGGCTGAGACAGGACAGCCCAGGCCGTGCAGGGAAGGACCTCCCTGCAGACCCTCCCCCAGCGCCAGAAGCAGTGCCTCAGAGTGGCTGGTTTATTAAAATCCTGGTGAAAAAATAGGAGTCTCTAGGGCTGAGGGGGAGGGCTGAGGGGCAGGACCGGCACTCAGGGCTTTGCCGCCTTCCTCAGCTGCGCCTTCTTTTTCTTGGCCCCACTCTGGAGAAGGCTGGGGCTCCTGTTGGCCAAAGACAACCGTAATTTTGCCTTTTTCCGCGGCAGCGCCGACTGTGGCGATTTGCTCGAGACCTCCTTTTGGGGCAGCTCCTTCTGAGACTGCTTTTCCATAGCAGGCTCCGTGGGGGCCACAGGCGTGGCTCCGTTCACCTGGGACAGCTTCCGATTCCTCTTCTGTAGCTTGGGGGTCTTGGCCGGGGACTGCAGAGTGGACTGTGGCGATTTGCCTGAGACCCCCTTTTGGGGCAGCTCCTTCTGATACTGCTTTTCAACAGCAGGTTCTGAGGGGGCCATAGGTGTGGCTCCGTTCACCTGCGACAGCTTCCGATTCCTCTTCTGTAGCTTCGGGGTCTTGGCCGGGGGCTGCAGAGCGGACTGTGGCGATTTGCCTGAGACCCCATTTTGGGGCAGCTCCTTCTGATACTGCTTTTCGACCATAGGCTTCATGGGGGACACATGCGTGGCTCCGTTCACCTGGGACAGCTTCCGATTCCTCTTCTGTAGCTTCGGGGTCTTGGCCAGGGGCTCTGGGGACAGACTCTCGGCAGCAGGCGTCCCTTCTCCCTGGGCCTTGGCCTTCTTCCTTTTCCTCTTCTTGCCTGTGCTTGGGGGCTGGGGCTGGTCTCCGCCGGTGGCTGCAGGCTTGGCCGCCTCCTCCTGTGTGGTGCCCTCTGACTTGCGTTTCTTGCGCTTCTTGGTCTCTGGCAAGAACCCCCTTTTCTTCCGTTTCATGCTAACAGGGCTCTGTGTGGCACTGAGGACTTCCTTGGCATCCTTCTTCTCCGACTTGGGGCGCCTGGGAGGAAATGAGCAACGTAAGGAAGCATCCGGTGAGGCAGAGACAGTGTCCTCCATCTCTGTGGTCCACGGGACCCAAGCTGCCCACGTTTGACAAGCTAACTCAGAATGTGTGCAGTGTAAGGGTCTCTCCAGCCCGCCCAACGTGTGTGGGCCCTCCTCCCAGAACCTACGGGACTCCGAGGACCCTCATGGCCTGCCAGTAGATGTCGTAGAGGCGGCTGGCCCCAGCCACCTGCTCCTTCTGCCGCACCCTGTGCTGCAGGTACTGCTGTTTGCTCTGCAGCACGTCACGCACGACGGTCAGGTCCACGGTTAGCTTCTGCGGGAGGCGGGAATGCTGTGGTTAGTGTGGAGATGGGAAGCAGGGCCTCTTGACAGCTCTTGGCCCTGTCTTCCCACCCTGGCCCAATTACTGCCTCTCCGGTGCCCCCGTGCCCCCTTCTGTACCCTTAGCCACTCCTGCCTGTGAGGCACCAGTCTCACTTGCCTTAGGAAGAAAAGGAGCCCCAGGTGCCACCTTCGTTCCCTCTCCCTAGAGCCAGAAGCTCCCTCTCTCAGCCCTCCTCTGGTGGCACCGTGTAATGACACCAAGGTGGCCATATCCCTTCCACCCATCTCACCCTCCCTGCCACAGACTGGATGGGTTATGTGAAACTCACTGGCTTCCAGAACACCCTTTCCTCCTGGCATTTCACTGCCACTCTGAGCTGCTTTTCAGGCCCCCGCTGCTCTGCAAGGCTTTGTCCCGGCCCCGCCTGTTCCCTCCAGCACCTTCTGAAGCTTGCCCTGCGTGTGGGCCTTGGCCAGTGTCTATGCTAGGAACCCCCCAGATGCCTCCCTTGGGGCCAGATTAAGGGACCCAGACATTTAGCCACAGCTGCCCCCGCCCCACTCTGAAGGCCTGGGAACCGGCTCCTTCCTGATGCTGCCCACCAGGAATCTTCACCTCCTTAGCTTTCTGACTGGAGCAAACACCAGCACAGCCTCCTACCCTGACCCTGGCCAGGCACAGGTGGGCACGCTCCCCTCCCAAGTCAAGCAACTGTGTCCACGGCTCTCTAAACACAGAAAGAGCCCGATTCCTCCCCTGACATCTAGAACCTTCCCCCTGTGGCCTCCAGCCATCCGGCGACCCCCCTCCCAGCTCACCTCATGGTTAATAATCCGGAAGAGAATGTTGAGCAGCTCCAAGGAGGACCGGCTCTTCAGCTGCTCCGACTTGCTCTGCGCCTCCCCCAGAGCCCGCAGATTCTAAGGAGAAAGCAGCCAGGCTGAGCCACTCGAGAGCTTCCCATATGACCAAGTGTCTCCCGAGGCTTAGTGTCTCGATAATCCTCCCTCCTGAGAGAACAACCCCTGATGGGTGCGGAAGGGAAGCCCTGTGGCTGTTACCTCCGTGACCTTTGCCAGGATCTGGCAAGTCAGCTGCTCCCACTCAGAGTCCTCAAAGCACAATCTCAGCTCCCGCATGGGCAGGACCTTCTGGAGCAGCAGGCAGGCCTGGGCCTGGAGGGGAGGGGGGGGGAGTGGTCACCAGGAGTCTTGGCATGCTGGCCAAGGCTTAGAAAACCACAGGGGACCCCAAGAGCTCTGGCAGCCTGCTGGGCACCTGCTGAGGCCAAGGCAACACTAGGCTGGGGGAAGGGTAGCTGCTGCTCTGGCTCCAACTTGCCTGGTTGTCACTAGGGCTCTGGGCTCAGTAATCATCTGCTCCCGTCTCCTCTTCTCGGGGGGGGAGGGGGGAGGAGAGCAAGACTCTCAGCTGGATTGATAAGTTTTGCCCTCTTGCTACTCACTACTGTCTTCCTCCAGCCTCGTCTCCGTCCTCGCCCTGCCCTGTCTGCTAGGGCCTGAGTGGGCAGCCAGAGTGCGAGCACTATGGAGTCGGGGGGCTCAGGCCACATGGGGAGCGGCAGAGGATGGGGACTTTACTCATCAGGGCACCCCTGGGCCTCACAAACACCCGGAAGTGAGTGGAGTGGGTAGTTCAGACAGGCCCCTACCTGATGGCGAGGCCGCGTCTGGCCCGTCACATGCTGGATCACCAGAGGGAGCAGGCTCTTACAGAGCATCTAGGGAGGGAAAGGCAGGGCTATGAGATGGGGATTGGGGAGCAGGGCCCCGAGGGGTGGGCCGGCCCTATACTCACTGGGTGCCGGGAAAAGAGACTGAGGAACATGGGAATGGTGAGTGGGCTATTGCGCTTGGTCAGGAAGGAGCTCAGTGCCGATGAGTAGATCGGAGTCACAATGTTCAAATCCAAGCAGCTGGCAGCCTGGGCCACCTAGAGAACACACTGGTTGATGCCAGGGAGAGGGATCCCTGGTATGGGAGCAGAGCCTGGGCTGCCCCAGGAGGCTGAAAGCTGGGCCCTTGGGAGGTCACGGCCTCAACTCCCCATCTGTGAACCAGGCAGAGGGTCCCGCCTGCTGCCTGGAGTTTGCTCCTCTATCGGCACTCACTGTCTGGGCCGAGCCTTCGGGGCCAGGGCCTGCTCACCTCGGGGCCCTTGGGCTTGGTGCCGGCTTTTTCCTTCTTCTGGGGCTTGCGGGTGTTGCCCTTCATAACCCGGAGCAGGTAGAGGGAGGCGTTGAAGTAGTAGAGGGCGACGGAGGAGTCGGCCTGGTGAGCAGCCTGCTGCACCAGCCGCTCCACCTGGGTGGACACAGTCTCCACGCAGTTGTCCACGTCACGGCAGTAATGCCGGGAGCGGCACAGGTGGTGTCTGCGGGGAGGTAAGAGGCAAACTGATTACAACACTCTCTTCCCACCC